GATTGAAGTGTAATACTGTTTAAGGGGGAGATTATACAGTCAGATTATTTCAGCACTACAAAAGATGAACTGCTCTGCCATTGGTCCATCGTAATTAAGGAACATCAGTGCAACAGTGTGACACACAATGTGTTTTTAATGGTTTTGCAGTGGAGAAACCTTAGGGCCCACTTCAGTTTGGTGATTGTGCCTTTGTTGTACAGTTTACCAAGCAAAAGTGTAATGAATCAGATTTCTATGAAATAATTACCATGCTGACATCTGCAGTCTTCAGGGTCTGTGAGGGTCTGGAGTCCTGAGGCAGTTTTACCTGGTTGGTAAAGTAGCCTTGAGTTGTATCGAGTTATTGTTAATTAGTTATTGAAAAATGTATATCACCAACCTTATCCTCGAAGTGATGATTCAAGGGCTTTCATGTCCCTTACGTCAGACTTCCCTTAATCGATATGTACATTAAAATACAGAGGACCATCTCATTGGTACAATTTACTCCACTGGCACATCTGCAGTCTACATTATCATCATTCAGGAAATATCTGAAAAGGTTTCTAATTAGCAAAGCTTTATAACACTTCATGCATTTCTATCAATTTTGTATTTCTCTGTATTTTTCTTTTTCATAGTCTTTAAACTTTGATGAATGATGCAAACTTTCTTTTTCTTTTGTAAGACTTGATATTTATATTGGGGAACCTCTCCCGCATTCAAATTCTATTTGTCTATTTTGTATATATTTTTATATAAAAAAGGAACCAATTTTATTTTTTGTCATTTGCTAAGGAAATTTGAAAAAAAAAATAAAAATTTAGGCCAACGTGTTGTTTTATGGTTTCTCTTTCTCTTTGTATTCTGGTCGTGCTGCTGCAAATAACTTTTAGACGTGTGTTTTGTATAAATTCTAACACTGAACTTCACAGATGAGTGTTCAACCACTGAAAGCTTCTGCCTCACCTCGTTAAACCACAGCTATTAATAGAGCAGCAGCTACTGTGTGTATGTATTTTACATTGTTATATTTTGCCCTTCTACGTGTGAACTGGTGTGTGTGTGTACTGTGTTGATGTGCTGGCTGAGTGACAATGAAAAAGAGGAATTCAGTACAAAAAAGTGTATAAGAATGAATGTCACACTGAAACTTTTAGAAAGTATGGACTTTGACTGTGTTTATTTTTTAAATTTGAATAAATTATAATACCATTTACATACTATAAGAAGTCTTTTTCATTGATGCTTTATTGCATTTTAAAGTTGTTGCAAATGCCAGTAAAACAACAAACTTTACATTAACAGTGAAGGAATGGAAACTTTGTTAAAACACCATGATACTGATGCACCAGTATGTGCTACGTGTGCTACATTATCTGCTTTGTATTTCCTATTTATGTTGACTTACAGTCACAGATTGGCCTCACAAGCGAAAGATCGTCAGACACACACTCAACAGCGTGACAAAATAGCAGCCTACCATAAACCCCAAAAGTAGTTGCAACTGGATGTAATTATATATTTCCTGTTTATGAGACGATTATTGCCACTTTAACTCCTTCAGAAGTCCCGAAGTTTTTTTGATCATTGTGGCTAGAGATTTAAGTTAAGGGTGGAGCAGAGCAGAGTAAATATATCCCAGAAATGTTGCACTCCTACTCTTTTCCTTCCGTCATGTAAAATTATCCCCCACCATTACGAAACTTGGAGGAGAAGAGCAGAGGAGAGAGGAGGGGCATGCTAAACTTTAAATTGATTCTAGTGAGACCTGAATTAAAGCAGGCCCGTCCTTCACTTTCTAGTTTCCTACACTAATGAAGATAGCAAATCTACAATATTAAAGGAAGACCTTAACACTTAAAGAGGAAACACCTGTATCCTGAGTGTCACCGGTCACACAGCCCCAGTTCCAGTCCACAATGCTTATGGTGACACAGGTAATGTTTGCCATTGCGTAAGTGAAGACTTTAGAAAGTATGTGATTAAACATGTGATTTCATCATACCCTTGTTGTCTTTTGCATATACACTCAATTAAAAATCGCTTAGAACAACAACCAGGCTGCAGAATAGTGAAAGAGTGGGACAAATAAACCGACATAATGAAAAAGTGAATTATATGTACGATAAAGTGTGACAAGCCATTAAAAACTGAATATACAGAATTATTTACCACCCATCATCCTCTCTTTTTGGATTATAGTTTGCTCATTGTTCAGCTATTTTAATAATCTTTAAGGAAACTATGAACATATAATAAACATAGAAACATAAAATAGACCTTTAACATAAACACATGAAAAAAAACCAACAACCTAGGACTACCTACTCATTGTGAGACTGAAATTAGAGGTATGTTTATATTAAAGGTATGTTTATATTAAAGGTATGTTTATATTACGCCTCATATTGTGTACAAGCAGAAACAAAAGATCTATCTTGTCAATCATCTGTTTTGGGTTCTCAAGCTTAAATTCAATTCAGTTCACTTTAAAGGGGCTTTATTGGCACGGGAAACAGAAGTTTACATTACCAAAGCAAGTGTGATACACCGGTATACAGATTAAGAAGTAAATAACTTATAATAATGATTATAACTGAAAAAAATAAAAGGAAACTTGTAGTTAAAAAACAAAAATACTAATGTTATATATAGGCTATATAAATAATCTCTTTCCAATACTAAAATACTTTATATCAGGTGCATTCGTAAAGACATTTTAACAAAACGATTAATTCGTTGTACAGAATGAGGCATAAAAGTCAACAAAAATATCCACTAATATAATATATTGCTTTTTAAATTAATCTTTAAATTAAATTACAGTTAGTTTGTGTTAAATAAATAAATAAATAAATAAATAAATAAATGAGCTGGGGCCGCGCTTCTTGATGACGTGTATTGATTGGATGCCAGGCTTGCTTAGCAACCGTTAGAGCCGCCGACCGTTAGAGCTGCAGTTAGAGCTACCGACTGTTAGAGCTGCCGACCGTTAGAGCTACCGACCGTTAGA